CGATGTCTCTCGCACCGTCTTGGTCGGCAACTGTGGGTTTAGTATTGAGTAGCTGCAGAAGGCGCTCAGCATCAATAAGCGAGCTGGAGATGTGGCGATAGCTGTATGAGAGAACATATAGAGGCGATGTCATTGTGTGCCAGTACATGATGAGAGTGACCAGGTTACCAACTGGCTTGCGACCAGTGACAATCTGCGACATACCAAAGACGCAAGCACCGGCGAATCCGAGAGTTGTCAGAACGTCCTGTGCCGCATGGCCGCCCATAGACCGGAAGTAGTATGCGTATTGAGCGGAGATGGTGTTCATGATGTTCTCGGCATAGCGCTTGTGTTCAAACACCAGTCGGTTGAAGTAAGCGACCGTCTGCCAGTTGTGGACAGTCTCATTGACCGTAGAGCTTTCAGTGCGCTGCTTCTCGACATAGTCTCTTCGCTTCGGCTGAGAGAGCGTCGTGAAGTAGAATCCGATTACGATGTATGCTGCGCCCATGAAGAGGATGATGAAGGCCATGTAAGCGTCAAACAAGTGCGTCACGTAGTACATGGCTACAAAGAGGTCCAGTAGAATGGGCGCAATGTCGAAGAGAACCATCTCGATGAGCGAGTTTAGAGATGAGGCTTGTTCCACAGCCTTCAGAACCTCTCCAGAGTCTTTCGAGGTGTGGAAGTCCATGGATAGACCTAGAACATGCTCATATGCGAGCAGAGTGATGCGCCGATACGCAGAGTTCGAGATGACTAGGTTTGCGATGCCGTCGAGTATGCCGAGCCCAGCATAGCTGTTGATGTATGAGAACAAGATCCAGAGGCCGATATCCTTCCACGGCATGACGCCACTCTGAGTCTCATATGAGTGCTGCAATTCGTTTGTGATGATACCGATCTGGCGAGGAGTAAGCAAGTTGAGAACGCGCTCTGTGAGCATATGAATAAGTCGTATGCCCAGGCAAGCCATGACTTTCCAGTCGTCTCTCGGGAAAAGGTAAGGCAAGAACACGGCGAAACCCTTGAGATATCCGAACCAGCCACCTTCCTCTTCGAGACGCTTTGCCTGCTGCTCTTTGATATCCTTGTCGTCATCCTTCGGTGGTGCGTCCTCATCATCGCTCGATGTTCCAGTAGTGATGGTGCCATATCCAGCGTTGCCGTTGGGTGTTGATGAACCATTTGCTTGCTTTCCTAGCAGAGACTGGCGTTCCTCGTCCGTGCTGACCACCGCCTGCTTGGTGACCAGAATGATGAAGGCGTCAAGAAGTAAAATGAGAGAAGCCAATGCCCTGACGCAGTCAATCACGAAAGGCGCATTCTTCTGCCGACCGTTCTCCGGGATGGAAAATGCCGTGATTAGGCATGTTGTAGTCTCGAAAGCGAATTGCAGGACGAATGCGCCAAAGTAGGCGTGCCACCGTAACGCCTTACTCGACCAGAGTATGTATGCGAGCGGACTCCAGACCAGTATCGACCCTAAGCAGCGGATTGCTGCAGGTTGAGGTGCCTCGTAGTCCCAGTCGCCCATTGACCGGCTGAAGTAGTAGAGTACCTCTGTGATGTATGCGACCAGTATTGTGAGCATGGCGATAAGTATGCTCCACCGCCTCTTTGCTGATACTAATCGTGGTTTTTGCAAGATGCACAAACTGAATGCGCAAGCTCCCATGTAGTAGAAGCCGACGGTGGGCGCATGCATGTAGTTGAGGAGGGCCATGGCCGGGTAAAGCGGTGTCGCGGGTTCTGGCTGATCCATGGTCGTGGTCGTGATCGTGAGCTCGTTTCTTCGTTGATGTTCCTGTTCTCGTAGCGTCTGTCTTAGACACTTATGGCTGCGCACAGATACACGGCCTGTGCAAGGTCGTGGGAGGCGACTTTATCGTCTCACACGATTGTTGGAGGCCTGGGAGTAGGTCGTACACCAGGTCTCGAACTGGCAAGGGCAGGCCGCCGAGAGGAAGGTGCTTGGTGGTGTGCGAATCCGGCCGCTGCGAGGAGGCAGAGGCTGCAGCCCCAAGCTTTTGATTTGGTGATTTGATCTTCAGCCGCACCGCCACAACGCTCTTCTCCGCTTAAGAATACCCGGCGAGCTCAGCCAGGAGGGTTCGAGTATGTGTATGCTGTCGTGATGGGCAGGGTTGTCTTCGCTTAAGGCCTGGGTTTCGAACAGCCCGCGACGCGTACTTTGCGACAGCCTTCAGAGTTATACGATTGCGCGGCGCAAACTTCCGCGCAGACGACTGTCACGCGCGCTTGATGGTTTTGGCGGTCTGTTGATGGACGCGCGATGTTTGGTTGTCGCGCTTTGCGCATTCCGAACTGAAGAAGCTGCGCGCCCTTGTTAGCCTAGTCGGTGTGGCTAGTGCCCGCTGCTAGGTCTACTGCAATCACCATGCAGTCCACTCACCGCCGTCTCCAGCTATCTGCTTGATGCGGCGTACAGCGTACGGCGACACTCCGGTGCCGCCGCTGCTGAAGAAGCGGCAACGATGTATATATAGCGCTGCATTTTCCCAGAGAGTCGCCGGTGAGGCCGCACACCCCCAAGTTTCTCTAGAGCCGTCATCAAGCGGCGAGACCCCGCTCTAGGCAGAAGCAAGCACCCGACACAACAGTCATGGCGGCAGAGCGACCGTCGGCGCTCGAGGCGGCAAAAGAGATTCGGGAAAATGGTTCACGGCCCATAGCGGGGTTGGACTTGATGGACGATGCGGCTCCTTGCAGGTGTCACATCTGCAAGATGCGAGTTCCTTCTGCGCCGGATTGGGTAAGCGAGGCTGCCGTTCCTCAGGTACCGTGCATGCTTTCTGTAGATCCGCAATGCACGACACGTCGACTTGAATACCATCAACGGCATCCACTCCTAGCGTTTGATCTAGCTTTCTTATCAGACAAGCACACCGCCCAGTCCTCTAGCAGCCTTGCTAGTCACCACGAGAGCCTCACTAGCGACTAGCAAGAGCCTCACGCCGTTGGTCTGGGAGAATGCTGTACCGAGCTTTTGTCGCCACGTCATGACTACGACACCGCGTTTGATATAGGAAAGCTGACTCTTCACAGCGCTCAGGAGCGCCGCTGATGCTGCTGCGATCCACCGAGCACATCTACATCCTCGGTTCCGAAGTCTGGTCCAGACGTCAATCACGCCTCTGTCAGTACCAGGGTAGCATCGCAAAGCCATCGATTATGCAATGTGGCACGACATCCAACAGATCTAGATCCACTGCGAGATCGGCCCGCAGGATCCGCACGTTCGCATGGCAAAGATGGGGCCATCCAACGACCACGGCCATCCAACAGCGACCCGGCTCAGGGTCTTTGGGAAACCGTACCACGACCCACCCAACACATATACAAAGACTCCAAAGAAACCCCAGGAACTCATCGCAGCGACACTTACTATCCGAAATCTTTCTCTGTACGCCTATTGGTTAGATTGCGGAAGCTGTGAGTGGCTCATCACTTCGAGACATCTAAGAGCACCACAAACCACTGCAAAGTCACAAAACTTGGCCTACAGATGCAAAGACATCAGATCCAGATTACAATACGTACACCCAACAATATCATCCCCGCTTACGCCCTGTAACGACCACGATTACCCCATCCAGTAACCCGAGCCCCAACTCCCATCCCCACCGTTTGTCACCATCTCCCCACTGCACCTGCCACCGTACCACCAACGCACGCAGCTCCCTTCGATCCCTGGACGTGAATGCTATGCAACACTCCATGACTCCAATACCACTTGTGACAGATGTGACATGTCACACGTTCTATAAAGAACTATTTCCTCTTCACATAATCAACAATGACTGGTCCTTCGTTCGCGTCCTCCTCTTGTTCGCTTTCCAGCCCGCTTCCGTCGTGTATCTTGCGGTCTTCTCTTCACGTAGCGCGTCGGAAGGATTGTATATAGCTTGGTGGTGGTTGCGGTGGTTGTCTTCTTTCTGCTCTTTGCACCTGTACTTGTACATACATTCCACTCTCCACCCGTCTCTACCCGTCTATCCCAAAGCCTCGCCCAAGGCCTCGAACAGTCCCAACCCCAGTCCCACTCAGTGAATACTCCCTCAAACTCTCAAACGAGCAATATTTACCCCTCGATCTCCGGATTGCCTCCCGAAAATCCTCGCTCACTTCCGTTTGAATCCGCTCGCCCCGGACTCGACATTCCGTTCCGGTTCGATTTCTACGACTCTGGCGCCTGGATTTCGCGTCATTATACCCCGCGTTAGTCCGAGCGCAAAGCACCAACTTCTATCAGATTGATCAGAGCAAGGCTTCTACGTTCACGACCATTACGATCAATACCTTTCTGAATCAATCTCCCCTCTTGCGGATTTGAATCAGAACAATAACAGTCCAAGCGGCGAGTCACCGAGAAGGTCTCAGGCGACTACTGAGACCCTTTGTCAGTCTCAGATCTTCAGAGTATATATCCCCCACCGTCAACTTTTCTTCCGGCGTCCACACCAGCAGTTCAAAGTACTGCGATACAATCTCCAGTACACTCATCCTCCGCAAGGACAAGGCGACTAAACAACATGAGCGACACAGCACCCGACCCACCCCCACCCCCACCAGAGCAAGCAGAGCAAGCAGAGCAAGGCTCACCACGTGGCGCCATGGATCCTCCAGCAACACCAGGTCCAGATGCGGGCCTTCGCGCTAAGGTTCCAACCGCAACAACACCCGCACCAGCGCCTTCACCCGCACCGTCCACACCAGGCCGACGTAACCGGTCCCTCCTCCCCAACACCCCACGTTCATCCAGCAGCCCGTTCCCCACACGCGCGCCCCGCACCCCAGGAGCATCGTCGGCAATCCAGCCCTGCACTGTCGACGAGACGCTGTTTAGTAGGGTGACTGTCCACACGGCCAAGTGCACTGAGTGCGACCAGCGGAATATGGATACCATGCGCCGTTGTCCTGGCTGTACATTCCAGGTCTGTCAGCCGTGCTATGAGAAACGGGTGAAGAATAATAAAGGTCTTCTTCATGGTAATATGGCGACGCCAGGTGCGGCTGGGGTTGGCGCTGGTACTACTCCTGCGGGTAGGACGGTGAGGCGTAAGCCCGCGCCGAGCAGCACACCCGTACGTGAGAGTGAAGAGAAGAAAGAAGACGAGGTCAAGGAAGAGGAGGAAGTGGTTGAGTCCGCGCCGAAGGAGACTACTGCGTCTGCCCAGAAGTCGTCGGCGAAGAAGCGCTCGATCAGGAAGAAGCCGGTTGTTCTCGACAGTGAGGTCGACGAGCTATCTTCCGAAGACGACTTCGAGCCAGACGATCACTCACCCACACCCAGCAAGAAGCGCAAGACCGAACTCACCTTCGCCGAGAGCGCCCTCGCTACCGCTACTCGGACACCGCCTGCCACACGCGCGACTCGACGATCCACCACCGCTCCAACCTACCAAGATCCACCATCCCCGCACTCAGACCCCGTCGACGGCAGTGTGCGCAGTGGCGGTAGGTCAAACGGCTACCTAGGCGGCGAGTACAAGGGCGATCCAGACCTCTACGACGCTGCCATCGCACCATACGACGAGCCGTTGTTGAGTCGCCAGAACCCCGTCCTGTCGAACCCTGCCTCGAGGATCCCCGATATCATCAAGCGAGGTGGTGTACCGAGGCCACAAGGCGAGACGTACAAGTACATCCAGAAGCATCTGCGTGAGAAAATGGGATTAGAGCAGGCAGACGAGACAGCTGGAGAAGAGACTGTGGCGTCCTTGGCTGAGCAGAGCGTAAGTAATGAGTATAGAGCTGTGATTGACACTGAGAAAGCTGACCCATCGAAAAAGACCGACGAACAGCACGCTAACGAATGCACCGTCGGCGCTTTCGTAGAGCAAATGGCAACAAAGTACCTCAACGCCGACACCATGGACGGAGACGACAACAAAGCTCTCTTCAACGCCATGGAGAGCGCCGCGTTGGTCTGGGGCAAGAAGACGTTCAAGAAGCTTGACCCGGAGAAGCAGCAAGTGGTACAACCAGGCTTGAAACTGCGTCTTGACTTCATCGATGCGGAGTTTCGGGAGGAGTTGGCCAAGTTGATGGATGAGCGCGCTGGCAGTATGCTGGCGGAGTTGGGTGTGGGTGATGAGAAGCCTGCGGCTGGTCCTCCGGACCTGTTGTTCAAGGCTGTTTAGGGTAGGTGATGGCGGTGGTGGTGTTGCATTGGTCCGAGCGATGATTGCTTGGGCCTGCTTCTTGTATTGATAGATCTTCAGCGATAGACAGAGTTGTCGGGACTTTCATCAGTCCATTCACATGGGTAGCGAGTCGGCATTGGTTGGCTTCGTCTGGCCAGCTTGGCATTTGCCTAGGATAGCGAAGTACTATCGTAGGAGCTTGTATCTAGAAACCAATTGCATCGGATGTGTAATGAAGAAGGTCGTGCCTCGTATGCTGGCATTGCCAGACCAGCTCTTGAGAGCCATGAACGAAAGGAGACGAGGAGACGTTCGATGCAGACATGATTATTCTACTTGAGAAACGTACGTAAACGACCTCCTTTCGAGGCGTAGGAACAACAAAAGGAAAAAATTATGGGTATCCGTAATGGCGCTGATGCAATGCAGAATGCGACAAACAATGAAAAGTTCTCCTAGCCTCAATTGAAACCCCCTACAGGGTCGCAGGACATCGCCGTCCTCGAAACCCTCGGTGTAGGCATCTACCGCTGACCGAACTGAATCGTCAGCTTTCCCTTAGCTGGCTTGATCTGCTCCAGCTCATCCTCGCCCTGGTTGCCCATGGCGTTCTCGAGCCATGTCATCTCGTCGTCATCGTCGTTGCCGGCGGAGGAAGGGCGCTGGCTTCGTATCGACTTGAAGCGCTCGTTGAAGAGGTGTGCGTATTCGTCGTTCTTGGAGGGCTGTTCGGTGACTTCGGGGAGGGCGCTCGGTTGGGAGACGGGGATTAGTTGTCTGCAGAGGATTAGTATGGTATCGTGCATTGGGGAACGTCCAGGGGACTTTGTGGCCTGTAACTTGGAAGGTACGGGCTCCTTTGAGGGAAGGGACGGGCGCCTTCGTGGGAAGGTGCAGACCCTTATGCAAGAAGGAACGGCCATGGATGAGGAAGGTGGCACTCACTCATTTGTCTCGGCGCATATACGCTCTAGGTTCTCTCGCTGACGTCGAAGCTCCTCCGGGTCTGGCTGGGGCGCGTTGTGGGTGCTGCTGGCGGTACCATAGTTGGGCTGGTACTGATCTCCGAGTAGGTGCGAGGCGTCCGAGTTCTGTGGGAGAGCGTAAGTACTTGTATGGCGCAGTAGTATCTCCCCAGGCACTTACATCAGACTCAGAAGTCCTTCGCCCTCCTAGGCACGACGAGCAGATACCCATCGAATGGGCGCGACGGTGGCTGGTGGAAGTGGTGGAGCTGTATACGCGCTAGTATGAGCGGGTGTCTATGGTCTATACGGAAAGAACGAGAAGGTGACGAGCGACTACACGGGGCATGCTGTATAGCCCGTAGAGAAGAAGCTGGCGCAGTTGTCGAAGTTCACGAGCGATGCTTCCTTGAGTTGTGATGATCGGCGCCGGCAATCTCCGGGGTCTTGGCGGGCAAGGAGCCGCATCGTCACTTGGGCATCTACGCATCTTTCGTTCTTTCCTTCACAAGCTTTGCGCGCCATTCGGCTTCATTTGTTATAATGCTGTTACATTTTATCTACAAACAGATAATTTGTTACTTGTTCTTCGTCGTATAGCAAGCCTCTTTCCCATACAATACAGTCCTTGCGCTTTGGAATCGAAATGTCATCTCGACCCTCTATATACAGCAAAATATCAACATCGCAACGACATCCTTGCTATACAATTTCATAACATGAGCGCATCTCATGTCTGACACCAACAGGATACCTGAATCGCCCTGTTCGTATCTCTTTATCGCCCAAATCCGGAGAACAGTCTCCCGCGCTTTGTTCCTTGAGCACATCGCGCTGCTCATTGTGAACTGAAGATTGGTGTGAACCAATGTCACCCGTTGTTCCTTCCAACCCGTCTGAAAGACTTATTACGCTGCCCCACCTCATACAAGGGACAACTGAACAGGCCTGCGGACTACATCAAGACAAAGACCTGCTAAGTGTGTGACCCAACGTCAACGTAGGCTCCAGGGTGTTCGGCTTTTTCCTAGACTGGCGTGGCCCTAAGGATTTGGTGGTTGACGAGGCCTTGTTGACGAACGAGGCTGACGGTCGCGCTCGCGCATGTTTCTCGGGCCCGTGGGTGGATTGAATTCGCTGTCCCTCGTACCATTCCCAGCCCGTGGTTGTTGAGGCTGCGCTGGCCGTGTCCGTTTGTGATTAGCCTGCACAGTCGCTGGTGGTGGTGGTGGTGGTGGCGGCGGCGGCGTCCTTGTCGTACTAACGTCTCCGGCACCGGCGCGCGCGATAGGAGCTGTGTTACGCCCATCCGGTGCTGTCTGAGCCCGAGGCGGACGGGTGTTTGCGTCCGTGTCGTCGGTGGGTGGCTTCGGCTTGTGTTGAGCCTCGAGAGCCGCGATTCTCTTTTCGAAGCCTACATGCAAAGATTGCTCCGCTGTCCGTAACCTACTCAGCGCATCGATATCGAAGCCGATAGTCTTTGGAACCAAAGCGATCCTTCCGGCAGCCGATCCAGGAGATGCCGTGAGAAACTCGTGCAGTTTCATCAAACGGTAGTATTCCTCGGGAGCGAGCCAGCCCCAGATGTAGACATTTGGTGGAACCTTGGCCCTTGATATCTCGCCAGCGAAGACATGAGTTGTTGGCTTGAGCATTCTGGAGTGTCCCCTTCGCGTCATTTGGAGCTGGGCGTGCGGACTGTTGTTTCCCCCAGGTCCGTTCGGGTCGTCTTTGGTCGCCATCCCCATGTACTTTGCGCGTTCCGACTCCGATATCCAAGGCACTTCTAAGCCGCGATCGCCGACGCTGCGACAATACCAGCCGGTGACGTAAGTAGGTTCAACTCGGCAAACCACAAAAGGGACGTCTTCTTTAATGTATATCAGTCCTTGCGAAGACAGAGTGAACTTCTCTCCAACTTTCGCATCAGGGTCAGACGAAAAATCGCAGTGTCGAACGGAAATCACAGTTCCGGTTTGAAGTAGCTTCGTCAGATCTTCCTGACACGTATCCTGGGGCTGGCCATACTTCAGTCCCCATTGAAAGCTTGTGTTCTTGCTGTGATCTATCACAGTGTAGGCTATGCCGGGAGCTGAAGACAGGCGTAGCAGATCTGGAGTGCGATCGGATGGATCTGGAGTCCGCTTGGTGGAATCTGAATTGCGCTTGGTGGAATCTGGATTGCGTTTGGGGTGAGCTGGAGTACGCTCAGGGGAGGGCGATTGTTTCTGGTGGGCATCGCGACCTCGAGCATGCTCGTTCCTGGAAGGTCGATCGCCTTCTCTGGCTGGGTGTTCCCGCCGCGGCCGAGAAGGTTTACCTTTCCGGGCTCGTTTTGCAACCCTGGATGGGCTCCTAGGATGGCCTTGATCTCGGTCACGAGAGCGCGTGCGTGAGCGTGATCGTTTTTGACCACGAGGAGGCTCATCTGGTTCGCCATGTTTAGAGGGCTCATCGCCTTGTCCGTCGCGGCCGCGGTGATCTTGCTCCTCCGCGCGATTGTCATCGTGCTCTTCGGCCGGTCTACGATCATTGCGTAAATCGTATGGTGACGCTTTGGCAACCTCCTGTGGAACCTGTGCACGTTCGAGGCCCGGAGGCTGCTTTGGGGTTTGGCTCCCGCGAGGCATGGAGGTCAATCCCTTTCAATTGTTGAGGCGAGGTTGAAAGGTCCAGGCGAGTTGAGGTGCCCATGGAGTGGTAGCGACTGTAATTCCAGAGGGGGCGCTGTTGAAATAGGGGCAGGCATCGTGGTTGTCTTGGCCTCAGTGAATGTCGAAAGTCGTTGCATCTGCTAGTCGCAGGCTGAGGTACGTGCCCAGTGGTGTTGTGTATGCTCAAGCCAGTCTAGTCTCGCAATCTCTCTGACAGAGCTGGGCTGTCGAGAGCTAGCGAGTGTGAAAGGCCGTTGTCTAAATGAAAGAATAATGATGTCTTTGTTGTAGTCGCACTACGTTTACCGAATCCGGATGTACGTGGATCTGTAAGCCTCCTTTGTTTGAGCCTATATCATCACGACTCGTTTTGCCATCATGCTATCTAGAAACCTGCCAAGATGGAGCCTAATCACCTTTTTTATCATGACTGGGACCCCGAATATCATGCCAATCAATTGAAAGGCATATATCGTCGCTGGACGTCGAAAGACAGAGAGAGGATAGAATGCACTGATGGGTCAGCACATTTCCTACGCGTTCAAGACAGGCGAGAGTCGCCTGATGCGTTGGTTCTGTCCAGACCACTGGCGGAAAAGATACGCAAAGCTTTATGCATCGCTCACCAATACTGGAGAACTCCCGAAAGCGTAGCTGATGAAGACAAGGGCCGGTTCGAGGCTGAAGCCAGAACCGAGGCTTGGGAGGAAGAGTTGGAACACCTGATAGAAGTTATGAAAAAGAAGGTTAAAAAGACAGGACAAGCAACTGATCAGGAAAGATATAAGCTGCAAGACCTTTTGGAAGAGCGGAAGAAGTGTCATAGGACGAAGAACTACTACCAGTATTACCGTCGCTTGGCTGAAGACTCGGTAAAGTTAGGCAAGGAGAGATGGATAAATGCTTGGTATGCCGTGCAACAAGAACTCGATCGCGTGTGGGTGCGTGATGGTCAGATCGATAAGTATGACCCTGATCGAGCATCTAGCCGGGGTGGTTCAGTACCAAGACAACGAGAGCGGCGTAGTCGCTCAAGATCCCGGGATGGAAGACATAGACGCTCACACCGCGGGCAGAGGCGAGAGGCTAGATCGCAAAGTACACATCATGCCCAACGTTCTCGGGCTGAGTCTCGGTCTAGGTCTACTTCTCGACCGCGAAGACAAGACAACAGGTCCAGGCATCGTAGAAGAGAGCCTCATACCCATGACCACGGAAGGCAGGAACGATCGAGTGGGCGAAGTCGTGGACAATCTCGTTATCGATCTCAGTCCCGCTCACGGTCGCAAAGGCATGATCGTAGACAACACCATGGACAACACCATGACCGAGCTCAATCCGAGCATCCACACGATGGTCTTGCGAGTCCGCGCTCGCCGGCTTCGTCTCATTCCCATGCTCAGAGTGGTCCGGAATTGTGGCGTGTGGCGGAATCCAATTGCGATACATGCGACATCACCCCAGCCCGTCTAGGATTTACAGCGAAACCGGCACTTGACTGGAAGAGACCAGATAGCTATCGAGAAGAAGATAGCCAGATCTCTGAACGCGACGTTGTGCCATCAGCAATCATGGCAGATGACGTCGAGCAATCATTTAGTGATGTAAGCATCGACGACAGCGTCGAAGCATTGGCAGCCCAAGATATTAAAACCTCCGTACCATTGTCGCAACAGGCTCAGGACTTCAAAGCTGGCCTGAGACAATTAGCGCTAGAGTACAACAAGAGAGAGACGCCATCTCCGAAGCCGACCGAACCGTGTGAAGGCTTGCCTCATCGCCCCAGTGGCGTTAAGCGGAAGAGGGACGATTGTGAACCGAGTGAAAGGAAGACTCGGAAGGTAGTTGAACACCAAAAGGGTGGGAGTGAATACTCGACGCGTGAAGTTCCGACTGTCGGGTGGGCTCAGGAAGAGCCGCGTGTGCAGGCAGTCGCGGGAGGGACTCCAGAGTCCATGAGAATGTCGATACGTGACTTTTTCAATCCGTATCAAAGCCGTGGCGAGAGTTTGTGTTAGATTTAGATAGATGATTGGATGCGAATAGCGGTCTAAACCCCAGACGAGTCTTCTCTGTTTTTCCCACGCGTGTTGGAGACACGGCGCAGCAGGAGCGATCACAAGTGGGAGGCGCGAATGTGAGCTTATTTCTACCTTTTGCTATAACTTGCGCCTTCTTTGCGCGAATTCATTGATTCGGTTGCTTTCTAAATAGAGTGCGTGTTGATGGAGTTGTGGCGCGTTGGAGTTGGGACGAATAACTGGTTGTGATGTTTGGGTGGCTCGAAACGCGCGCCGGCTCAACTCGCGGCCCGGCACCATGATTTCTTGGCGTCCACGGGTCCCTTCTCAAGGGTCTGATCTTCACGCCACCACAGTGTCGCTAGACATCTTTCACATCTCATTGCAAGCGTGTGAGCGAAAGCATGAGTGTCGCAAGGACGATCGCTCCAACTCGCACCATATCGATCCAGAAAAGGCTGGTAACGCAATTGTCCTTGACGACACTCACGCCTAGACGTTCACTTTCATCTACGCTTGCACGGCCTTCTCTGCGCAGTTCGTCGATGGATTGGTCTACACATAGTTGCGATATTGATGCTGAACCTTTGCATCGTTACAAAAGGGGTGGCTATCATCCCGTTCACCTGGGCGATCGTTTAAGCAATGGCAGATACAAAGTCCTGCACAAATTAGGCTGGGGTGGATACTCGACTGTCTGGGCTGCGCGCGATATTAGGTTCCGCTTTCTACGAAACATCGACGACTTGAGCTGAGATGCTGCCAGGGACCAAACGTATGTCGCTTTAAAGATATCGGTATCTGAGACAACCCATGAGAATCGAGAGGCTGCAGTCTTGCGTGCAACAGCTGTGGCGCAATCGAGTCAGCCTGGCTACCAGCATCTCATGACAATGAAAGATTGTTTCCATATCAGTGGTCCAAATGGAACGCATGAGTGCCTGGTGCTAGAGCTGTTAGGACCGAGTGTGGCCGATTACCTCGACGCGCATTTCATGGAAAGGCCTCCCGGAAAGCTTGCAAAGATGATTGCGAAACAAGCCTTGCTTGGTTTGTGCTTCCTTCACGAGCGGGGAATTACGCATGCAGGTACAGTGTGACACCGGTGTTCATAGCATCTCTGCTCATCGTCCTCAGATCTGCACACCCGCAACCTAGCATTCACGATCCCTTCGCTGCAAAACTTGCGAGAAGAAGATTTCCTCCGGAAATTTGGACAGCCCGAAACTGGCACAGTGCAAAGAAAAGATGGCCAGCCAATAGGACCTAATATGCCTCGATATCTTGTCAGACCCACTTCCTACACCATGAATATGAAGTCATCCTCCAGCTCGATCAAAATCATTGATTTTGGTCAATCGTTCTTACGCGATGAGTGTCCTGGCGCCCTGCGCACTCCACTTCCCGTTCGCGCCCCGGAGATTATCTTCAAAGATAAGGTGGATTATCGAGTAGATCTTTGGAGTATGGGTTGTTTGGTGAGTCCGACTTCTGCCATGCAAGCCCTAGAGCGTCTCGATGGATATCTGACAAGGTAGCAAGCTTTTCGAGCTCATTGTCGGACAACCGCCGTTTGACAGCTTCATGATAACGCCTGCAGGCCTTGTCCGTCAAATGCTTGAGACAGTCAGCGACGATTTGCCGGATCGTTGGAAGATGGATTGGTATGCCATGGAAAAGACATTGGATGACAGCGATCCCACTAGCTCACTTCAAGAATGGTTGGAGGAAATGTACTTTGATGGGGAAAGGCGCGAGGATATGAGCCGAGAAGACATTTTGCGAGTCGGCGCACTCATCGGCAGCATGCTACGAATGGAGCCATCCGCTAGGGCATCAGCGAAAGAGGTTGTTCAGGATGCTTGGTTCCGGAAGGAGTAGCAGGTCGCAGCGTGATGCACGCAAAGCGCCCAGCAGCTGCGACCATCGGAAGCGATAATGAGAGGCATGGCGCAGCGTGTCATCGTTCCCAAGTAATCGTATGTAATGGCAGACAATTGATACAATCATTTTGATATGCATCTAACTCCAATCGAAGAATTGGAGAAAGAGAACATGATGATTGCAAGGCTATGAGTGATGTCATGACACGTGTTTGGTGTCTCCGTGCCCCTCGTTTTTGGATTAGCCCCAGGCGATCATGTCGGACGTCTCGCATCTCCGCCCCTCGACACCTTTTTCCTCTTATTATATCAAAATCGAAACGGCTATCGCACAGTCTTTCGTTCTTCAGATGGTTATCAATCCCTCTGCGCCTCAATTCTCGTCGCAAGCGACATGTTCGGACACAAGCACACGAGAACACGTCTTTATTAGGACTTTCGTGCCCCAAGTCCGCCGCGCCATTAGAGTCCGAAGACTTCACTTATCCTGTGTTACAGCCTTCGCGAATCAATGAGGACCACGACTCGAGATGCGGCGAGACCTACAATTTCGTTGTGATCAGCACGCGACAGCTGTCGGCCCATGTTGCGGCCGCAGCGATTAGGCTCGTCGGACCATCGTCAACGCAGTTATCATACGAACAGCGAGGATTGACCAAGGCTATCACGTTGCGATACCCCTGTTAAAGCTCGCATATACTACACTTTGAACAACGAGGTCACTTAACGTAGGGGTCTTGCAGTCAGGAAATCACACAAAGAATCACGCGGACATCGTCTCGTCCCTCGGTCTTTGAGGAACTTCGATATCAAAAGCTTGAACAAAGCACATCGCGCCATCGAGAATTCTACACTTCATTGTTCTATACGATTTACAATGAACAAGGCCTCGTTTTATATTTCGGCGGTAACAAGCCCATTTCCTCAATTGAAGCTCAGTGTAACGTACATCGAGAACACCTCTTGAGATGAGATACCGACATCGACCCATTCACGCGCTCCGAATCCGGATACCAGGGGACAAAGAGGCTTCTTCGTACGAGAGGCCTCTTGTACTCTCAACCATAGTTGAGTAAATCTCCATTCTGGTACTCGCCACCCTGCTCATGCCTGCCACGGCCACCATCGTCCTCGTAGTGTTCACGCTCGCGATTGCGGTTGTCGTCGTGATTGCGCGGCTCAGGATTCTGGTACGCGCCACCCTCTTCATTTCGGTCATGGCCACGGTCGTCCTCGTAGTTCTCACGCTCGGGATTATGGTTGTCGTCGTGCTCGCGCGACGCATAGTTGTGGTAAACGTGAGGCTGATATCGCCCATCTTGCATCACGTTGTTCACGGGATGGAACACAGGCCGAGTATGGACATGATCGCCGAGACGCGTCTCAGCAGGGCGATCGTCTTGATGGCGGCGCGGATGCTGACCTCCGTAGTTTTCTGGTCGGTAGTGACGGTCATCGCGAGATCGTGCTCGACGATGGTCGTCCCTTGGACGGGGTGAACGACTACGGGTACGCGGACGCGGATGCGAATCTGGACGGGTCCGGCCATAGGCGTCACGCTGATCCTGACGGCCCCTATCTTGTCCTCGATCACCGGGCCGGCGTTGTTGTCCATATCCTTGATACGGGTTGCGAGTACGCTGAGCTCTAGTTGTGCGCTGAGCATCCCAATTGGGCTCTACACTCGCCTTGTAGTCTGGAAAAAGATGGCGCGGATTGTGTTTCGCCTTCTTAAACTCGCTCTCCCTCGGTGGGTGGATAGGCGGAGCAAATCCGCGAAGTCCTTCACATACTGCTTGATGACATATGCCCTGAGGCACCGGAGCGATGTCGGCATCCTTGTTGAAATGCGCTTTGCGAAGGTAGTCTAACATGGCAAGTGCGTCGCCCGATAGACGGCCAGCATAGATCCATCCCCAAGGCATGGTTGTGATTGACTGCACTTCGACCACATCGATGTGGCAAAGCGAGCTGATGGCCATACAATTGTCCCATTGATCTCCTACCAGAACTCGGGCGTTGCCGTGGGGGCCGTCATTCCCAGGCTGGTTGTCTGGTAGCGATTCGTCAAGCAGTCGAAGATTCTTCCATTTCTGACGATCGGGAATCTTTTCCAGCCCACTGAACTGTCTGCAGCGACCGTAGACGACATGTAGCATGTCTGAATCAGCATCTACGACTACTTGAAGTCGAAAAGCTGTCAAGATGGGACCATAGTTGGTTGGTGCGGATTTGTCTCCAAGTTCTTGGTGTCTATCAGCAACCCACTCGTTGGTGACTGCCCAGAACAGATCGCCCTTGCGTAAGAAGGTTCCAAGCGGTCGTCGGACTTGTCTAGGAACGCTGTTGGCGCGCTGGGAAAGGACAAGAGCTGTAAAGCCAGCGAATCCAGGAAAGAGGACGGTCAAGATGTTGCCCATGTCTAGTCCAAGGCCCCCACGCCTGACGATACCTCCATCTGATTCTGGTCGACGCGCTGCGTACTGGAAAAAGTCTTGTAGGACTTGAATGAAGCGATTTTTCCCTTCATGGGTGGACATGTCAACAGGTGGAATGGGCTCGTCTTGGGCAAGCAGGAAGCTTTCGAAAAGCCGATGTGCTAGACTGTTACCCAGACGAGGTCGCGGGCCGGTCGGTGGAGTGCTGGCGACATATCTACCAGTTTCATGGAGCAGTGCGGTCTGGTCTTGGGGAATGGCGACTAAGCTACGCTCTTCTTGACGAGATAGTGGAGGAGCTGTGTTGGTACCCGGACGAGACTGAAGCTCGGGTGGCGAAGGGCTGGTTGTTTGCCTACCATGCGGGCGTGTAGGTTGCTCTCGCGAGCTAGCAGCAGGCTCGCGCTCTTCTTGAGGAAACTCCGAAGGTGTATGATAACCGTCTTGGCTATCAACACTCGCTTCGCGTGCTTCTTGTTGTGGTCGTGGGGAAGGGGCGTGAATAGGCTGCGGAACGCGCTCGATGTCTTGTTCAGGTTGCGGGGGAGGGCTGGCCGGGCTCAGTGTCGAGCTTTCTCCATCGGTGGCTACCACGTCCTCGAGTTCGAACTCCGCGACTTTCTCATCGTCGCGTTGCTCAAAGGCCTTGGGCCGTGCCCCTCGCGATGCCTGTGGGCTATCTTTGTCTGTTTTGATTAGTGAAGTGCTGAAATATGTAGGGATATGAAGCCTTGCCTGGACGACGGTGACGATCCGCCATGTTCAGCGGATTTGAATCGTGTAAGCGGCCTGTGTATATGCAATGCTCGAAGTGGTTGTGATAGTTTGGTTGAGAGCTTGGTTGTCTAGAAAGGTCTTTCCGAGAAGGAACAGTGAAATGCGGAGTTGATGTAGTGGATTGCGGTGCACTGACTCTCGGTGGGTGCATCAGCAGGGCGAGCTCTGTGCTCCCATAAAGACCCAATTCATTGTAGTCAGCGCGTTTCTGACGTAGTGCAAAATTGGCAGGACTTGACCCGCGTAATGGGTCAGTGAATTCTGCATGGTCGGCGTGTAGTTGTGTCTGCTGCCGCTTAGATGGAACAGATCGAATGGAGATTCGCATTTGATACACCTGGTGGGTTTCGAAGGCTTTGAGTTTATCTAAGTCTCGCTTCCGAGCTTCAAGTGGTAGCTAGATCGTGGTGTATCAGGTCCTCTCGAAAAGGGAAGCAACGTCAACACAAGAGCGGGTGGTAGCCAATCAGATTGCGCAGTCATACCTATAGAGTGTTCCAATTGAATCTTCTGATCATTGCGTGGCTGGTCGGACGAACGAAACCTTTGTTTTAAAATCACAAAGCGGCATCGTGGTCAAAGAAACTTGCTAGCTTTGTCGTTGTACTTAAAAGTCCGGAAGCTTCGCGCATCTTGTCGAGTTCACGTTCACCTCCCAAGAAAACCAGAGTCATGTACGACAACGCAGAATTAGAGACGACACACTCGGAACAAGCATGTCGGAATTGGATTCATCCGACGGCACATGTCTCGACATCGAACAGTGCGCGACCGCGACTTAAGAGAGTACGAGACGGTAGGCGCGAAACTTGGGCATTAGTTCTAACCGGAGAGCTCGAGGGAAAGATTGAGACGGCTCTTGCGTTGGGACGTAGTTATATCCAGGGAGTTAAGAACGTCAAGAAATGGAAGCACGAATTGCTCTTGAAGCAAGCGGACAACGCCGGATCTTTGGAGGCCGTCACGCATCGCCTGAACGTCAAGCGACTAGAGATACAGCCAAACAAAGAGCCGACTGAGTTGCAAAAGAAAATATTGACGAGCCTAGCCCAAGGTGTCGAGCGACTGAAAGCCAACCAAGTTGTCTATGATGGAACCATTGCAACGTATGATAGCAAAGTCGCACGCGGCTTGGATAGGTGGCGGAAGGCTTGGACTGACGTAGACAAGATTCTAGCCAAAGTATGGACAGATGCAGGGCGGTTAGTGGTGGACGGCGAGTCGGATGCGGACGACGAAAGGCCACATAGAGCGACTGAGTCAAAGAACGAAGTCGGGCGAAACGGAGGCCAGGCGACTATACCTGGCGACCACGTGCCATTAGCTGCACCGGAAGCAGAGCCCGCCCGACAAAGGCAGACAGGAGGGCGAAGAAGCGAAATCTCAGAATGGCAAAACAGTGTCCAAGCCCAAAGCCCCACGAACCTCGACAAAGGGAAAGGTGTAAATACTCATCACAGGCATCCCACAGGACGACCCTATAACAATGGGGATCTTCAAACATCTTCGAGCTTGTCCCAACACTCTAGTGAGCATCCGCGAAGATCGTATCGGGCATATTCGTCGCGCCCGCCGCCGCCGCCGCCCCCACCACCGCGTCATGGCCACGATGTCTCCATGCCCCGCCATGCGCGACAACAAGCGGATGATCATGAAGCGCATCGCGAATTACGGAACCGAAGTCGATCAAGCAGTCCAGCACGAGAACGAGGTACATCTAGAGACGCACCAGGATATCGGGAACGTAATCACCGCGAAAGTCAGCAGCACAGGACTCGCGAGGAAAGCGCCCGGAGGATAAGAAGTCGAAACCCTCCTGAAGACGACACGAGGGGCTGTGGTAGATAGGGTGCTTTGTGAGAAGTTTGCTAGTGGGCATCTTGTGAAACATCGTGTAGTAGGGCAGTGTCGTTACCTTGTTAATGTTGAGCAATCGCGGGTCATGTGGCGTTCTGGAAAGTGCCGTTAACGTGAAGAGACATTCTGACATGACTTGAGGAGTTACATTATCGATGAATGCAAGCTGCGTTGCATCGTATCGTGACTGGTTGGACGGTAGTCCGTTCACATGCTACCGAAACCAGATAGTGTAAAGAAAACAATAACCCCTAGCTATCCCATGCTGCGCAATCAATAGAATGATCGCATCGTGAAAACCTGCACCAAACCCTGCGACCCCCTGTCTCCAGATCTCGATCAACGATTGCTAAGACAGCTAAGAGCCTCCATCGCCACCTTTCCTTTCCGGGCTAAATGATGAGTTCGAGACAGGCTGGTTGATGTTTAACGATTGGTTTTGCTCTGTCACGTTGAGGACGGGGTTGACCATTGCTCCACTGTGAGTCTGATTCAGAACTTGTGCCATAGCCGGCTGGTTGGTGATTGAACCGGTCTGGAGCTTCATGTTAGCATGAGAAAGAGCTTCCCGTAGACCTGTGGCTGTGGTATCGGCCTTTTCGCCCGCAGAGTTTCGACCTTCCCTCACCGCAACCGGAGCTTGTGCTTGCTGCTGCGAATGTGATGCCGGGCTGTCACGGGGTTGAGACATGACTTGAGATGGATTGACCTTTTTGGAGGACTGGTCTCGAGACTGATCAACCGAAGACTTGGCTTCTCCTGCTTGGGGAACTGATGCCGAGTACGCGGAGCTGAATGTGCTTGACTCTCGTATAAGATCCGTGGAATCTTTCTTGGAAGGATGAGTGCGTAATTGACCGAACAAATGTTCACGCCTCTGTGCATTGTGTGGACGAGGCATATCACCCGGAAGATGATGGTTCGCCTGTCGAAGGCCGCTCTTGACCGCATCCACATTCATACCTTTTGGACGTACGAAGACTTCCCCGTCTGGACTGTGTGCATTGGCTTTCAGTCCCATGAGCAGGTCGCGACTGTCCTCATCAAGTAGTCCCAGAGGTTTCATGCCCTCGCTAGGAATGTGTGGTACTGCATCTACTGCGGAGAAGTGGGCGTTCTTATCGACGTTCCAGTGATTGTAACCTCTGACCCGTCTATAGGTCAGCGACTCGTGTGGTGTGCCGTTCGTCTTGAGTAGCCCATTTTGTGGCAGCGGCCCGTGCACACTGTCGTGAAGATGCAGGTGCATCCAAAGGTCGTCTTTGTGTAGATGTGAAAGCCCGTTTCCACCATTGAGTCGGCCAACTGTCGTCCACATATTTGCCGGAGTCACTTTTGTAACAATATGTAAACGGAAGGCAACACAAACCATTCCTTGTGAGCTTGGAGCGGCTTTCTCACCAGGTTCCAGGGTTTGGTCAGCCGCAAACTCTACCACCCGATCCCAGAATGTGTCTCCAACGGCGAAGTAATCGGTGTAATAGAGAACAATTGGCTTGGGAATACTATTGGCGTAGGGCGACGAGATGATGGTAAGTATGCCCTCACGCCCGAGCGAGGAATCCACCAAACTTGCAAGCCCTAAGACCTCAACGCCGAGAACCCCCATGGAACGGACCTCGGTTACGCAAGGAACAAGCATCTTAAGCACTTCTCGTAACTTGTCCGCGATGGTCTTAGAGGCAGAGCTACTATCAGTTGGGGACTTGTCTTTGGTAGATGCAACAATCTGACCAGTGACTGCTGCAAGGTTCGTCATGATCTGCTTGATGTCTGGGGCTGGTCCGCCGAGGGGGGTTGAAGGTGGTGTCGGCTGATCGACAGGTGTAGTTGAGCTTTGTGGCGCGCTATGGGTCTTGGTGCGAACTCTTTTTCCGTCTTCGTCAGGAGTGTGTTCGTGTGGACGCTTCTTGGTACTTGGTTGAAGCCCAAGTTCAATGGTCTCGTTGGTCGGCTTTGACTCGGTGTTGCCTGCGCGGCGAGCGTATCTGGTCCAAACGTCATCGACGTGCAGCAGATCTGACGCGTTTACGGCATGATCACCACCGTCGTCGGCCTGCGCTGAGTTAGCTACTTGCAGATATCTACTTTATAGACCTTTATGTCGTGAAGGTTAAAGCACACCCGATGGCCCAAGCAGAATATCTACGTACCGAAGACTCAGTTTCGTGTGGCTCCATAGTAGCTGCAGAATGCACTACTGGAATCGAGTCGAGCGCGCACTGCGCAGTGCAGGCGGGACAGGGGAAGGGTTGGTCGTCGGATAGTGTGGTCTGCAGAATGGTCGGGGTAGGTCGAACTATCTGCTCGGAGTCGGCGCAGTTGTTGATGCGAAAGTAAGGCGTGTGAGTAGACGTGGGCAGCACTTTGGTCTTCCTAGAGTGGAGCACGAAGCAGTTGCAGTTCACATTTGTCCAAGCGCAACGTCAGATCGCAATCTAGCCTGCAGCGCGGCCAATTTAGGAAGACCAAGTGACGCTACAGTCTCGAGTGAAGATTGTGTAGTATTCGCTGGCTGCACAACCTCAGAAGAATTGGACCTCTTGGGTTAGTCCCAACAGTCGCTCCATCTCAAGTACGCGGTACCCAGTGCTGGTGTAGATCCAGTCCTAAATTTTCCTTGACGCCTGCACGTCGACCTTTCAGAATCCATATATGAGATCGACTTACAGACTTGAAAGGACATCCTCCAATGCGCACGTTCGTCATAAGCAGTCCAGTCCAAGACTAGACACTCAATGAAAGCAGGTTTCGCCTTGTGCATTTTCCTTTGTCTGCTTCTTTGACATATCAGTATCGTATATAAAACGTAATTGCAACCTTGCTTTCGTCCAAGAAAACTTCATCCTCGGTAACGATTGCACGCCATCTTTCATAGAGCCCGAAAATACTTGCAAAATGCCTTACCACGCAGGTCATCCACCTGTAAAAGAAGAACGGATTGTCGCCAGTTGGACGGCACCAAATGGGGCCCGTAGTTACGAAGGAGCACGTACAAAGTTGACCGAAACCATGAATGGTGAACAAAGCGTCCTTGTTCTGACACTGTCCGGCGAGCTAGCGACGAAAATCCAAAAAGCACTTTCCATGGGCCGACAGCATAGATTATCCGCTCAATACACCAAAGCCAAAATAAAGGAGCTCGAAACAGAGAGACTGGACAATGCGGGTTTGGTGGAAGCTCTCGAATTTGAGCTGCAACACAAGAAGAAGGAGATTGATCAGTCTCTTGTTATGAGCGAGAAGCAAAGAAAAGAGCTTAATACTTTGGCTCAAGACCTTCATCGTATGCGCGCTAATCATGGTGTCATTGAGCGTAATCTGGTCTACCTAGGTGAAGGCGACGTAGAAGAGGTGGGACGATGGAGAGATGCGTGGTTTGAAGTAGACAGGCTGCTAGACGTGGTATGGATGGAAGCTGGAATACTGAAGCAGTATGAAAGCACCGGTGGAGATCGAACCGAGAGACCTGCAGCGGCACCTGGCCATCGATCCGGAAGGGAAATGGACTTGGCTGGCGGACAGGAGTCGGCTCGCGACGATGGGACGAATGGCAGGGGCCGCGGGGGACGAAGAGATCGTTCTCAGTCAAGACGTAGAAGGCGGACGGAAAATGAGCCACGTGGAAGATGCAGACGTCAAGACGGGACGCGAGTTGTGGACGACAGCGATGAGCTTGACCAGCGAAACGGTAGCTCCGATCAAGAAGACAGAAATCGCCATAGGCGTAGTCCGTCTGCTGACAGCAAAACAAGGGAGGAACGAACCTTACGAATCGAACGGCTTGTTAGGCAAGAACGTGAGGATTTTGAACGCGGAAGAAGAAGCAGCTCTCGACTACGCTCGCGACAAGCTTCAGCTCGACGAGGAGAAACCAGACAAAGAAGGAGGGATTCTCCCAGGCAGAGAAGTCCAAGTCGAAGTCGGAGTCGATCACCCTCCTTGGATGTGAATCGAGAGAGACGCCATGTCAGAAGAGGCGGAGAATATCGCGACCGCGAAGATATGGACCAAGATAACCGTTATCGAGTCGGCGGCGAACGCAGGCGTTCCTCACGAGAGCACCGTAGATAAGCCATCCAAAGTTTGAGCAGCTGCTATCTGAGAGGCGAAGCCGACCGTAAACTACGCTGAAGGCTCAGACGGTGACAGATACCGGCTTTGGTCCATAGGTGAGGAGAATCGACACCAGCAGATTCCTACGCAAGCAGAGGCCAGGTGATAAGCCCCAAGACACGAAGCTCGTAAGGGTATACGATGCGTAATTCGTGCATCATGTACGACGCAAACTGTCAAGCGCGGCAGAAGCTCATCGCCGTGTGTCCACCGAATGCACTTCCGGGTAGCGCTCTCATCGATTATGGTGCGGTACGCAGATCGAAACCGAGCGATGGAGTCCCTTGTTCTCATCCACGAAACTCGACATTAGTGTGAGAATGACCCAAGACGATCATAGGACGGCGTGGAGCGTGAGCGAAGTGTCGGATTAGGAATTGACCATCATGCCGGTAGGTGATAGCAAGGTCTCCTGGGCGAGATCAGCATAAGTTTAGGACGACTTGGGATGACAGCTTTACACCATGTACGTAGCAAGTTAGGCCACCGAATCGGAATGAGCGGAAGAACTATGTCTTAGCTCGAGGTTCTGCATGGGCGCGATGCTGGTCTCCAGGAGACTTTCGATGCAAGCGGGCGTCTGTGCCGGGCGCGCAAACTTGTGGTTCTTCGTCTCCTTATGGCGTTCATAATTTACAGAAGGAAGTCATCGCATCCGATCAGAGACATGAGAAACCAGTGAAGTAGGGCTGCTGCTGTGAAGGAAGGGTGCCGAGGTGTAGTGACAGTGCGAGTGGTGAAAGAATGCTGGACTCTCGCTTACGCGTGACTTTCGCGTCATGGCCCGTGCACTGACGTCACCAACGGCTCTTCTCCGCCCGATCTCCACACTCAAGCAAACAACTTAGCAATCACTCACGAGAACATTAGATGGCATCTTCCATTAGCAACAATAATACTTTACACAAATCCGACCAGCTTGGCTCCCACAGTTTTGGAAAGCTCATATCAGCTAAGTCTGCCTTCATGTAGGGTATGTACGACGAGCGCACTGAGACGAAGTGCTCGAAACATCTCACCTTGCCCATCTTCCGACAAATTCCTCCATCTCCGCTTCTCCGTGTGCCGTCGCGCGTTCTCCTCGCCAAGACCCTCCAGGTAGCAATGAATTGCACCACTAGGAGCGATCGTAATAACCACCAAGGCCACGCGATCCGGGAGGACCTTCGTCGTTGTTCTTGCGGTCAGTCCGGCCTGTAGACTCCCGGCTGTAATAGTTGGGGCTAATGTACACACTACCGCCCCTGATGTCTTCAACAGCATTGTTCCAGGACTGATCAACTTTTGCGGTGTGGTCCCCGCGAGGGGCATCAGCCTTGCTTCGGTCAACGTCGTCATATTGGACGGCCCTCTTTCCCTGGGTCGGTCGCGGTCGAGAGCTCCTAGTATCCGAACCACGAGGGCGCTGTGGCCGATCTTTCTCGTGAGATGCGGTGTTTGAGTAGCCACGATCCTTTCGAGATGAATCCCGGTGGTCTCGACCTCGTCGATCATCAGAGCGGCGGCGATGATCGGAACGCCTACGATCGTTGTCGGACTCGTCGTCATCCGGATGATGTTGAGGAGTCCCAGTTCGACGAGGGGGTGGCCGGCGGTCAGGTCGTGGATACGCTGCGAGGCCCATGGCGTTACGGCCGTCGTCTATAGCATCCCAGTTCATTGAGTCATAGAGTCCGTGATTCATTTTGTCGTTTCGCTGCGATGTTATCACTCGGTTTCCAATCGTCTCCAGAAGAGTGACACTGGCTTCATCGAGATATCCGGCGAAATCCCAGTCTTCCGTAAGTGTGCATCGACTGATCGCGCCTGCAAGCACGTATGACATATCCGAGATGCGAACTGGCTTCGTGGCCTGGCTTGTGTCCACCTTGAGAACACCGTGAGGGCCATGGTTAACGGGGTCTCGGTCGCGAGCATCAGCTACACGCAGCCACTGCCAGTATGTATCCGGCGGTATGGACGGAGCGTGGAGCCCTCGCTTACCGTGAGTCTCCACACACGTAGTCAGAAACTCGTTGTCGCCTACAATGGCGCGAACGATGTGCAAGCGCCGTTTTGTGGTAATCTTTCCCAGTGCAGAACCAGCGGCGTTGTCTCCGAGGGGAGTATCTTCTTCGTGAGAATAACCCACTGCTCGCTCCCAAAATGCCATACCGACCTTGACTCGATGCTCAAGAGGCATCTGGGGTGCACGCGGGATGCCCACGGCTGATTTGCTGAACATCATGAATACGCGGTCGTGGAATGCTGGGTTCAGATGGACAGCAAGGCCCTTGATCACCGCACCAAGTTTAGTAGAGGTGAATAAAACATTGCGCCGCAGTATCTCGGCGATGTCTTCCGTCATGAGGTCGCTGAATCTGCCAGTCAAGATGGCGCTCGGGTCACCCTCAACTTCAGTATCGCTGAGATCGTAGAACTCCTCGTCGAAGTCATCAGAGGGGCCAGTAGTCACTTCCGTGTGTTTGCGCTTTTTCGAGACATCGGGCGTAGTTCCAAACGCGGGGATAGCAGGGGCTATATCATCCTTCAATACATTAGCTTTGCTCGCGAGGTTAAATATATTGCTTTGACGGAAAAGAGATTCGTGAGCGAAGCTGGGTTGATGCTCAGGGGAGCTTTTGTTGATAGTGGCGAGATGTCATCGTACCTCGTCATAGTTGAGTTGGGGTGTCGCAGGCTGGTACGATTGAACCAGGGGAAGTTTCGATGCACTGAAACCTGAAAGCATGTCAGCGACATTGAGAGAGGAATGTAGTATATCGTACCTTGTCCGCGCCCGTCCGGATCAGTCATCTTGGAAGTTCTGGTCTTGTGTACTATGATTACAAGAGTAAACAGATAGCGCTAGCAGAGTGGGGTGGTATCGAGCAAAGGGCAAGCACTTGACTTATATACCCCCAGAGGAGTTGGAGCCTAAACCAGGGAATGAATTTTGAGAGGCCGAAAGGCTTCGTGGTGCCAAGCCTGCACCGTGACCTTGACGCCATCGGAAGTGAGGAAATTGCGCACGGTCCCAGGATAGTGTTGAGAACCTCCGGATGACGTTGAATGACAAAAAACGCTGTACATGGAACATGGTTACGTCCATATCAAGGTGGCCAAGAATGTGAGTTCACGTCCTTTGTTGAGCGACAGTACTTGTGTTATTTGTTTGACTACACGCCTTCCTCAGCTTTATAAGTCGTTTGGGCCTCCCAGGTCTCAGCCCGCAATGAGCCTGCTAGTGCAGAATTATCAGTTGTTACTCACTCGGACAAATTGATGAATGGCGCAGGCGCAGACGTTATCCGAGCTTGCGCGTGCGAAATGAGAGGAGCAGTCGCATCTGAGTATCAAAACCCTGCTGCGACTGCAAGAGTCATCCAAGTCCAAGAGGCAGACGACGATCTGAGGAAGGCCTCCGCTGTCACATTGTCCAAGAAGCTGGCTGGAGGGCTGCACTTGCATCTCCACACTAACTGTCTGTCGTTCAACATCCACCAACTCACCTACCATATACCATTACACCGATACATGTCAAGATGTCGCATGAACTGCCACATCCAGAGACGTCGTCTGAGAAGGCCTGCAAGCAATGGGCGACGACGGCGATTAACCAATTAACCTTCTGCAATCAACCCAAGGTGGGTGACATAGTCCTTCAACAAGATCAAGATCAGGTTAAGGCCTTGGTCTTTTCCAGACAGCTTGCAGCTAGCATACAGCGAGCGCTTTGTCTTGGGAGAAGCTTCCGAAAGTTCGAAAGCGAAGCTCAGGTTCATCGACAGCGATTCGAGACGCAGGGTCAAGATGCTGCTGGCATAGCTGAGTCCACTGACTTTCGGTTACAACTCAAGAAGAAAGAACTGGAACAAGCCGGGACTGCTAGCGACAGACAAGCGGAAGAGTTGGATGATCTATGGCAACAGTTGATGCGGAGCCGAAACAACCAGGGGATCATCCTCAATAACAAATCAATGCTAGAAGACGAACTCAATGCAAAGCGAAATGCGTGGCGCGACGCTTGGCTCGTCGTTGACCGCATGCTAGATCCGGTGTTGATAGAATCCAGGTTCCTCAAGCCATATCCTGAGCCGCGGAAAGGGGACGCTATCATCACGCGAGCAACAAGAAGACGTCATGAAGATGGTAGATCCCAGGCCAATGCTGCCGGTGTTGATCGTCAAAGTGATACAACAGACCGACCGCAAAAGCGGGCAAGAGTTATGGCGGACGTGTCTGGAAAGCAGCAGGCTGCCAACATAGCGGAACTTCTATACAGAAAGTATCGGGATAACTTTGATGATAAGTTGGCAAAGGCTAGATCAAAGAGCGGAGACAATGCTAGACCAAGAGGGTCTGCATCCGTAGCAGCAGACGACGAAAATGAAGCTAAAGCTCGCGATGACTTCCGTCAGGACATTTGGATTACAAAAGCGCAAGAGCTGGGCAGGGCGTGGGAACAAAAACGGGATGACCTGAAGTCCGCGCAACTACGTGCTGTCGAAGTGCTCCCGGAACTTGAGAGCAGCCTATCCATACGGTCCAGTTACTTTAATGTTACCGAGGATGGGGTCTGGAGATCCGGAGAATCAGCAAGGTTGAAGCTGATGAAAGCTTGTCAAGGCTGGCGTCAGATCGCGGCAAGCGAGGGTCTTGGGAGTGACGTAGGCCACTCTGTGACCAGCCCGAATAACATGAGGGATAGCATCTATAAATACTCGGTAAGGCCCCAGGAAAGCGGTTCTCGAGGGATGATTGAGTACAGGGCAGCGCCCTATACCAAGCGTGGTCAACAGTCTCCCCGTAACTCTGAGGAAGCAAGGCAAGCTAGACTGCCGGTCTGGCGTAGTGAGCTCAGACCCTCAGAGGTAGGACTATCGCCACTTGAGGGCTTTCGACGTGCCGGGATGAGACCAAAGTCTACCACGAAAGGGAAGGCACAGAGCAGCTTGCACTTGCGTCGAGAGGCGCCCCAGACCAACGTACATGATCGCGACCACCATGGCTACCGCCAGTATAGTTCCTCAGCCAGCGAGCAAAGCTCACATCGAAATCGAGCTCCTCGAACCGCATCGTATTCACGTGAGGCTGCTGAAGCATCGAGGCGGCATAGCCGTGGAAGAAGGGAGGATGTCGATACGCCTAGTAATAATCGGTCGAGCGATCGAGGAGCCAGTCGGTATACAGGCAGGTCCAATAAAGACAGTATTCGAGGACGCTCAAACGTGCCGCATGGAAAAGAACGCCAGCGGGATATCAGGAAGCATGCGGCGGCCGCAGCGAAAGAGCGTTTGCGTGGAAGTCGACCTCTGGGACGCGAGAGACGAACAGCGATGGAGATTTTGAGCATGAGGCCGCGGCGACCATGAAGGTGGTACTGGTTTGCGGTCAGTCTGGACGGAACGACCTACGCGTGCCGTTCGAAACGACCTACGCGTGCCGTTCGAAACGGGGCGGTGACATCATAGCAGTATCGTATTTCGACATCTCGCAAGAACCATGAGTACACTCGCGGCCTTCAAATATGGTGTGCTGTCAAGGAATAGTCGTGATGTTGCGCATTGTTGCTCACGAGAGACCAGGTGAGGGTTGGAGCGTCCACAACCTTGTGCGCTGAAGCTTGAGACGCGTCGAGCGCTAGCGCGGCGGCACGGCTGAGTCAGCAAGAGTTTGGCGTTACCGCCCAGCACTGAAGCATCTTGACATCCTGAACGGAAGATGCATAACTGGATGAAGCTGTTGTGAGCTTTTATTTACAGGTAAAAACCACCGCTGCGTCCTTACTCTTTCTATAGCTCATCCTTTTCTTCCTTCCACCCATCGCCCACTCCTCGCATCCATTGGACCCCAGCCAACTTCAAACCCTTCTTCTCCGCCAACTGCTCTGCTCTAAAACTTCTTCTCTCAACGAACTCCTCTCCTCCAACATCCGCTTTCTCTACAGTCTCGCCTGCCTTCTCCTCAAATAGAAGAAAGAGGTACCGATGTGGCCCGCTCTCATCCTTCGGTCCAGGTGCCAGATACTGCGTGAGCGTCTTTCCTCTCGCGGTGATGTCGTCTGGTGAGGTGGTCGCTGATGGAGAGGGAATAGAGGTAACGACCCAGTGGCGCCAGTAGCCAAACTTTGGGTCGTCCGGTGTAGGCGCATCGGGGTCGATCATCATGAATGTGAAGCTCGCGGCTGAAGATGTTGGCGGAGACGAGATGGAGATGATGGGTTGCTCTTTGACCTGGCTCACACGAGCGAGACTTCCATGTTCTGGAGTAAGCCCGGAGGGGAACTTGATGCTGAGGTCCAGAGCTGGGGTGAAAGACTCGGGGATGATGGCGGAGGGAAGTAGGTTGGCGCTTTTCAGCGATTCGACGAGAGCTTTGGCGGCCATTTTGGGACTTGAAACTGCCAGAAGACGAGCGTGGTGAATCGTAAGTAGATGATTGTGATCAATCTAAGAGTAGATGCGCTGGTATAGGTGGTTTTGTTGCGTGGCCGTGATGGTCAAGGTCTATTGGTGGATAAACCCAGCTCTCGCTTGGTTCTCCGCTTGAGGCTCCGCTCTTGCACTTGGCGACCTTATAGAGCATAGATTCGGGGTGTAATAGACGATAGCGAAGCCCGGTGACGTTGGTAAGGCCGTCTACGACCCGAAGCACGCGAACGGTTAGTTAGCTTTGTGAGCACTATGACGGGCTATCACTCAGATAGACATGTCTTGCGTTCTACTCGGGGTGGGCCTTTGAACTTTCGGCTTCAGAGCTGGTATGAAGCTCTGGACATGCCTGAAAGCAGCCGCTCCCCATAGATACTATGAGACAAGCACTGTGATGTCTTTCATTCTGCCATGCACGGGTTGGATGCGAAGGAAAGAACATTCAGAAGGCCGGTACGTCGGGCCAGTATAGCGACTTCGTATGATACCAGGGTAGATTGAAGATGAGTAAACCTTTGCAGAAAGAAGCCAAATCCTATTGCTGATGGGTGTTGATGTACTGAGTTCGTGAGTATAGCGGTGTTCAAAGACGCGCCCTGTTCAATGCTTTGAGGCCAGCGTTCAGTATCGATAAGGGAATGCGCTAATTGGATTCAGGCTTAGTCCCGCCCCGCTTCTTGCCCTTCCATGATAGAAAACACCAACTCAGACACCTGTTTTTCTTTGGCAGCATGCGAATCAGCTCGTCTGAATTCTCTGAATACTCCGTCTTTTGCTCTTGAGACATCGTGCATCCGACGTCGTGCATTCCAAGGTTGCATGCGACAGCTCATCCATCGCTCCATCCCGCCATGCCTGCTGCGCCGCGTGCCTGGTCACAATGCCGCCCGACGAGACGGCGAAAGCGACGGTCGAGGCTGAGCCAGCATTCATATGAGCGTTTCTAAACTGTCTGGTTTAGCGTACACACTCCTATCCGGGTGCTCGTTTGTATTAGGATATACACCGTTGTTGACGAGGTATTAATGAGAATCAGTGTCATGTACCTTGGTGCTCTTGATAGCGTAATTTCCGGGGAATAAAATTAACAAACAACGTAGGAGTGATGATGCATCTTGATTACGAGCCGCAAATCATCTTTCACATTCTGTACCAACTATCAAAGACTCTTGCTCAACAGCTTAACAGTGTCTACTCTACTGTTTCTCAAAGCTTGCTCTCTCGCGCCGCAAACGACTGTTGGCACGCGAAATGCAAAATAAAAAGGTTCCATCTCTGAGGATACAACTCCTTCATCCTGTCATACAATGCCTCAGCACTCGTTGTCCTGGCCAACTCCTTTTCAAATGTGTAAATGTACTCCCTAGTCGACTGGATCAAATA